CCCCAAAACCCCAAAACCCCAAAACCCCAAAACCCCGTTAAATTTATTAAATATTGAAATTACTCACTTCGATAGACAACCATGAGTTATTATAATCCAAAAATACGATGTGAAGCTTCGAGGACGGCTCCTTATCTTCCCACAAAATCGCTAACAAACACTACGAAAAAGACACTTGTACTCGATTTGGACGAGACCCTTGTTCACGCGAGTTTTCAGTCAGTACTTCAAGCTGATGTTGGTAAGCATTTTCTCTAAAATTTCTAGTAATTCCTGTAAAATAAGGAAATTCTACACGTCCAGTTCAGACCGGGAGCACAAGAATTCATCCGTAAAATGTCCAAGCTATACGAACTGGTGGTCTTTACTGCAAGTGTTGAATCATACGCACTTCCATTAATGAAGAAACTTGATCCTGACAATTTATGATCATCAATCCTCTGAAGAGATCACTGAACTCAGCAGGGTGCTATGTTCGTCAAGGATATGTCCAAACTAGGAAGGAGTCTTGAAGATGTGATTCTTCTAGATAACTCTCCTAATTCCTACTATTACCAGCCGGAGAATGGCCTCCCTATTGAAAATTGGTACGATAGTCTAACTGACACAGAGCTATACAACTATTATGAATTGTTGGAAGCACTTGCATTTGTTCCTGATGTTCGGGAATATTTACCCAAAGTGAATAGCAATGAGAAATTTGACTTTCATCGTGCAAAAGAGGTAGCCAAAGAGATCTTCAATAATTCCTCATCGCCAGCAAGAAGCAGGACATCAAAAGTTTCATCCTATCACAAACATCGGACTGCTCAATCTGTCGATAATTTTAGTGTGAAGCAAGAAGTTGAAAATATTCAGAAATCCATCAGCAACTTGAAAGAAGGCTTTGGGGAGAAACCTCTCACTTATCAAGCTCCGAACTGGAGGAACCACACCCCAGTGTATAATAGGAGGACCCATGACTATCCACAAAGTAAGCTTTTGATATAACTCGTAGCCCCACTATCACAAGTGAAAAGCTATTTTGATAGCTATGAAAACACTCGTGATTCCAGACAAGAAATTCAAACAAGGAACTACTCTCACACCAGGCTATCAGACGTAGCTTATCACAGGAACTACGATTATACCAAAAAGCCATTGAATTCTTACCAAAAGCAGGGATCAACGACTGCTTCAAAGAGGCCAGCTACTGCAAAATATTCCTATACACCTGTAACAACAACTCCCAAAAGTAAATTCCTTCTTATGCCTAGCTGCCAATTGAACTCCAATGAAGCATCAGCCGACTATAAAGCAAAGGGATTTCACAAAGACTTTTCAGGCTCATAGCTACAACAAGGAAGGAATGAACAGGAGCTATATTGGCTCCAAGGAGTACTTGTGCGGATCTAATGATTTAGTTACACTAGCTTGGCTCCGAAGTATACGAATAGCACAGGATATGCCCCTCCTCATCAAAGAGTTCCAGCAAAAATTAATGATTACTTACAGAAAAACTACTCGAAAATAGGCATTGAAAGTAGGCTAAGGAACTCACAGACAAGGAGTATGCTTGCTGTCTCACCTACAGGACCCACTAGAGAATACCCTAGAGCTTACTTTAACACCCAGATGTACCAATCTGGACAAAGGGACAGGTAATCTAAATCAGGCTTAAAAGTGACCGTTTGAATTAATCCTTTTCTAAATTATGCAATATATTATTACTAAGAAGGGGTTTTGGGGTTTTGGGGTTTTGGGGTTTTGGGGTTTTGGGG